TTCTGGTTGGTTTTGCTTGGTTTCATTTTAAATCACACTGCTCTCTCGATGAAAGCCCCCAAATCACCACACTTCAGATCTTCCCAGAAGCTTCATCTCTCTAATTTAAGGGTGGTGGTTAATAGGACGAGGGCAGGTTCGCTCTTTTTAGGCGGCCTGTGGGTGCTGCCAGAATGTGCTGCACCTGTGCCTGCTCTCCTCCTTTCCTTCCCATCTGTGTAGGAAGGGTTTCACAGTCCAGTCTCCTGTCCTCTTCTAGATGGAGCCAGAAATGGAGCCCATGTTTTCTCATCTCCAGGAGCCTGGGCAAAGTGACATTGCAGGTTGTGCAGGTGAGACGTGAGCTCCGCTGGTTGTGACCCCAGAGGGAAGCTGGGGGCTCTGCCCAGGCATTGCTGGGCACATGGTGTTGTTCCTCCTCCTCAGCTGCCTGCTCCCTCCTGGGTTGTGAGGACGGTATGGTGCCCTAGGTGGGGGCAAGGCTATCAGTGGCAATTTTGTATATCTTTCTCCTGTGGGTTTCTAGCAGCTCTTTTAAAATAAGATGACACAGTTCATCTGGTGTGAAGGAAGGCCTGCGTGCTTCTCTTCATTATGAGTTTTTGCAGGTGAGGGAGGTCTGGGACAGTTGCACAACTGTGAAATGCGTGACTCCTCAGCGCTAGCTGTGGATGGGAACAGAGCGTTGTTTGGTTCCTGTTTTAGTGTTAGAGACCTGGGCTCTCTGCATGGGCCATGTTTAAATAACCAGCTGCTTGGTTGTGTACTGAGGGAACGACTATTCCTGTGAGAGGGATCCCCTGGAAGAAAGTTATCTCTCGGGTATAATTCCATGATGTAAGAGATTAGGTCCCCTCCCTCCGTAAGTAAGTCTTTTTTGTTTTATCACTGGTATGTAGACCTTGGTAGTTTTTTTCCCCATAAATAAAAAGCATTTTGTCTCTTCGAAGGGCATGTTGCTTAAGAATTGCATTCCTTGGTGTCACGGAGGCAGGACTGAAATTGCACTGTAGAGTTTTATCTTGACTGTAGAAAGCCACTTTTTTTACTAGCGGCATAATCAAACAATGTGTTAAGTGGAAGTATATGTAGTGTTACTGAATATTTTGATGCTAGATTGGAGAAGCTAATCGCTAGGTCCTATATTTGTAGTAACGGTGAACATCTTAAGATGCTTGCAGAAACCAAGCTTGGATAAGTGCGTATCAGGTACTTATAAATCTATTAATGCTGAACTGATATAAGTATAAAATTTAGTCAGCAGAGTAAGATAATAAAAGCTTACTGTGGAGTGTATGATTGTATGTACTTGTGAAATACATGGGTTGCATTCACTAAGAAAAAAGAGGCCATGTTTGAATGTTTCCTGTGAGCTTCCTTGGAATGCAATTTGTTTAGCTTGTTACTAGAAGGAAAGTAGATGTTATGCTAGATCTAGATATGAAAGAGATAGTAGTAATTGGCAGTTAGGGGGTTTTTAATCAATAAAAATTTGACTCCTTTAACTTATGGTGCATGAATATAGAATACCTGTATAATATTTAAAACTCTTCTTGTGATAATTAGGGAAAAAATTGTGATGTGCTGACTTGTAAAAGAAGTAATCTATTTTTTTCAGGAAACTTTAACTAATGCAAGTGAGAAACCACCTCAACCTCCCCGTTGATTTTTCATAATGAAGGTTAAAGGGACTTTTTTTTATGTTGAACCATCCCCACCTGAATACACAGCTTTAAAACAGAGATTTAGTACTAATTTAGCACATTGGAAGGTTTTTGAGCAGTCTGCAGGAATGAATAGCTAAAAGTAGATACTTGTGATGGGTAAGAGGTTTCAGCATGTTCCTTTTCCTTCCTTCATTCTGGCAGTCCTCCAGAAATGAGGGGAAGCGAAATAGGTTTCTTACCTCTTTCTTCTTTGCTGTGCCACTTTTTTCTTTTTCTAGTCTTCTTGTCTCAGTCTCCATCATAGAATGGGTTGGATCATTGCCCTTCCTCTTTGAAAAAGGGGAATTTGGTGCAAGCAGATGCTATTCCTGTGAACTTCAGTTGTTTTGTGAGGAGTGGTTTATTTGTCTTAGAGAAGGAGGAGTGTCACATTGTTCTCTTGCTCCATCAGGGGACTTCATTTTTAGTGACAACAAGGAAGAGAGAGGTATTCCTGAAGATCTTAAGCCAGATGTACTGCTTGAAGCCCCCAGCCCAGGCCCAGACAGGGAGGCAGCCAGCCCTAAAACCCCGCACCGAAAAGTGAGCTCCAGCAAACTTGCCGTCGTTGCCAAAGACCAGAAACCACATGCAGAAAAGAAGCCCTACAAGTGTACGGAATGTGGGAAGGGTTTTAAGGGACACGCCAGGCTCCTGAAGCACCTGCAAACCCACACAAGTGAAAAATTGTTTGAGTGTGTAGAATGTAAGAAGAGTTTTGGGAGGAAGGCCAACCTAGTGCTGCACCAGAGAGTCCATGTGGGAGAGAAGCTCTACAAATGCAAAGAATGTGATAAAACCTTTAGCCATCCCTCAGACCTTGTTGCTCACCGCAAAACCCATGCAAAAAAGAAAGCCTTTGCCTGCACCATCTGCAAGAAAAGCTTCAGAGGAAACGCAGCTCTCTTCCGGCATCAGAGAGTTCATGTGAATGAGAAGCCCTATAAGTGTACAGAGTGTGGAAGCAGCTTCTCTCTGCACTCAGACTTCATCAAACATCAGCAGATTCACTTGAGAGAGATACCCAGTGAAGACACAGCAGGTAACTGAATTAAATCTGTCTAATTTTATTTCAAGCTGTACAGACTTATGGGGATGTTTCAGAAACTATGGTCTCTATTTGTTCCTAAACACTTGCCCCTCCTTGCTGTGGATATGAGTGGAGTTCTTTAGGTTTTTGGGGGTTTTGGATTTTTTTTTTCCCATATAATTATATTTTTCCCTGTCATTTGAAGAAGTGCCTTTAAAATACCAAAGCTGAAATTTTGGCTTTGCTGTGAAGGCTACCTGGGACTAAGACTCTGCAGAGCTCTTGGATCCCACTGATTCGTGCTTCATAGTATTGCCTGATGTCTAGCCCTAGATCTTCAGAACTGCTTAGTCAACAAAATCCTAAGCTTAAGGAAGTGAAAGGGATTTAGACTGTGAATCAGAGCCTTGGTAATCTCTAGCAGCTAATTTTTGTAATACGTGGATATTAAATGGATATTAAATATTTTTGTTGTCTGCAGCGGGAGGTCTCTGCTGGCCCTCCCTGTGCAATACTCTCAGCCTAGCATAAGCTGTCAGGCAAGTTAATTGTTTCAAGTAGGCAGTTTTCTGAATTTTGCAATATTCCATGCTCTTGTAATGACGAGAAACTTTGCAATAAAACCTGATATTATGTCATTGTTGTTTTTTTTTTCTTTCTGTTGAACCTTTACATGGACAGTCCCTTTATACTTGGTCAAAAATGTTTTAATTTTTAACTTGGGTCTTGCCTAGCCACTCACAGAATTGTTTTGGGTGTTAGAATCTTGGCCACCAGATCATATAATAGCAGGGCAGTTAAAACTTGAGGCAATATGAGAAGGTGTTATGCATGTGAGGTTTTCCTGATTTTTTTTTTTTTAATTTGTTTTATTTTAGTTTTCTTCCTGGAAAAAAAATCTGAGGAGGTCAGCCTTTCAGTTTAACAATAGAAATAGTACTGAAGTTATAATGAATAGTAATGAAGTTAAAATGAAATGGCAAAACTGAATTCCTAAGGTAGGATTTGAGACCACTTAGTCTGTAGATACAGAATGGTGGCCTAGTAACTCTGCGAAGGAGTCCTAAAGATGAGACCTTGCATTCCCTATATGTTTTTCAGTGTGTTTTTTTCTGGATTTTTCCTTTCCTTATGGACTTTCAATAGGTTCTTTGTTTAGATGTAGGAGTTTAATTAAGAGGGGGGTAGAAAAATCTAGGATTTTATCCTGATAGTCGACCAGTAATTAATATCAGATCCACGTAATACCGTACCTGCTTCAAAAGTGTGCAAACTTATTCTGGAGTAACTATAGCCACTGCATCATTGTAATTGAATCTCCATAATAAAATTGCTTTTATGATCAAATATATTTCATGCTGGCCTTGCAATGCATGGATTAGGAGTGAAACTTGATTTCTGTATCTGATATGATTTCAAAGAAGAGGTTTACATACTTATAACTTCAGTACATTTTTACTAAATCTCAGCTGTCGTGTTCCTTAGCAGTTCCCGTCCTCCAGCTTTGTTTCACCCATGCCCTCCCCTAAAAGAAAAAGTACAGGGGAAGCACGAGGAATGTATCTTGATTGGGATAAAACCCAAGTCTGTAATGATTCTCAAGGGGCTACATCTGCCTGGTCTTTGCCTTAGTTTGGGTCAACATGTGACTGGAATGAAGTTTTAAGTTTAAAACGTGGGTAAGAGGAAGGATGGTTGCTAAGCTGCCTTTTCCTTGCTTGAAAGCATATTAGCAACTGGTGATAACGTGGGCTCTTGACTTACGCTGTTTTCCTTTTAGCTGCAAACCTTTCTAAATTTACATCTTTGCATCATAAAGAAGAGCAAAGTTGTGGTGCAGGGAAAAATGAGATGGATCACTTGAATCTTCTTCTTGAAGAATGTAAGTATAAAAAGGCTTTTAAATTGCCATGCAAAATATTTTTACAGAGCAAGCGTTAATGTTCTCTTCTCTTTGTACAGTGAAAAAAATGAGGGAAAATATGGATATGCTGCTTCTGAATCATCAAAGTCAGCTGCAAGTCCTGCAAGAAATTCAGAAGCAATTGAATATCCTCCTCCCAGGCAACGACCTCATTAATTCAAATGTCTATAGTTTAAGACTTCTGCTAGCACAGCAGGCAGCTGCAGCAGGGTCTCTTTCTTTTCCCCTTCTTAATCCCAGCAGTCTCCGCCGTGAAAATGCTGGTGTCTTACCCCAGTCATCTGCTCCTGAAATTCTGCCTACTGCTCAGCTCCCAGTCTCTGAACATCCTGCAGCATCTACAGGTTCTTGATTGGCTTTGTACCATGAGCGTTACCGTTCCGAACGTTACTGAACGACTCTTGTTTTATGCTGTTTCCTCACTCAAACGTGTGATCTCTGTTTGCAGCCTTGAAATGGTAGTACCTGTGGAGATGTTGATCATACACTTGGACTTGGAAAGACACATGCCACAGATGCACCAGCAAATGACAGTTACTCAAATCCATTGCATGCCCATTTGTTGACATTTGTCACAGACATTTTGGCCAGTAATATATTTTGTCAAGGCAGCTCAGGAGATTTTCATCACTGGGGTATAGTTAGTGCAACATCCATCTGGAAGATAATGCGTAAAACTTAAGCATGTTTTTCTACCTGTTACGTCTTTATTATGTACTTAGGCTATTGGATCTAATGAGCTGAAGCTAATGATAAAATGATGAGAGATGCTTTAAGCAAGTTCTATAAGTCTGATTTATTTAGAGGTAAGCAATATGCTTGTGTAAAGGTCCTCAATTTACAGCCACCTCTCTTGGCAGCGTCCATTTGCAAAAGTTTTCTTTGTTCAGGAAGGCTTTAGGTTAGATGACCTTAGCTGATTCTTAGACCAGCATCAATACTAAAACTACAGATTTTCTCTTTTCTTCTGTTTTTTGTTTAACAAAAGCAACTTCCCCCCAAGCCCAAAGAAATACCACCATTCAGGTCTACCCCACTTACTAAGAGTTTATGAAGAAAAACTGAACTAGTTTATAGGACACTTAGTCTTTTGTTCAAAGGTGAACTCACTTTAGTCTGTTTTTAGATATTCTGTCATATCCTGTTTAGCTTATTACATATTGTTGAGTATTATGTGTTAATTCACTGCAGGTAGGACTGGGAGGAACACTGAGAAGCTCAGGTGCATCATCTTGCAGTGTCTGTGGGGGAGGAAAAATGTTGTTTGTTGTTTTTTCTCCATGTTCCTGCAGGACTGTGACATGGGGCCCTTTAAGGCTAGTAAGTGCAGAGTTTTAAGAAATGTTAGTCCTTTCTACCTCCTTTATGTCATGACATGGAGTAGTAGCAGCGTCAGAGGCTTTGAGCATCAGAAGTGCATAAAAAGCAGACTCTTACTTATCTTTGAAGAGCTGCTGGGATAAAGAAATTTGGGGCTTGTGCCTGTGCCAAACAATCTTTCTGTTGAACTGGTGTCATGTTTGCAAGTTGTTGGATTTTTCTGGATTTTTTGTAATGTCTTGTTAAAAGGTTGCACTATTAGTAATTAATAAAGTATTGTTTAGATCTTAAGAATGTGTGCTGATTTTTGGCTCAGGTATAGTTAATTTTCTTCACAGTAGCAAGTATGGGGCTATGTTTCTGGATTTGTGCTAGTAACAGCGTTGATAACACAAGGATGTTTTTGTTGTTGCTGAACAGAGCTTACCTACCAGAGTCAGGGTCTTTTTAGCTCCTCACCCCACCAGTGAGCGGGTTGAGGGCACTCAAGAGATTGGGAGAGGACACAGCCAGGACAGCTGATGGCAACTGACCAGAGGGATTTTCCATATCATATGATGTCATGCTCAGCATATAAAGCTGGGGGAAGAAGGAGGAATGGGGGAAATGTTTAGAGTGATGGGGTTTGTCTTCCCAACTCACTGTTATGTGTGATGGAGCCCTGCTTTCCTGGAGGTGGCTGAACACCTGCCTGTCCGTGGGAATTAGTGAATTAATTCCTTGTTTTGCTTTGCTTGCGTGCATCCCCTTACCTATCTCAACCCATGAGTTTTCTTGCTTTTACACTTCTGATTCTCTCCCCAGTCCCACTGAGGGGGAGCAAGTAAGTGGCTGTGTGAGGCTTAGGTGCTGGCTGGGGTTAGAACCACAACTGGATGGGAAACACTGCTTCCCTTAATAAGTTTTGTTGGTGACAGTGCAGTGATGTCAGGTTCTGGTCCAAAGTAGAGTCATACCCAGTACCACAACTTTATGTGTGGATATGGACTTTAAATTGCACATCAGTTCTTGTTGCATAGGATTTTGTGTTAGTGCTAACTCAACAGGATATTAAGCCAAACTGAGGGCCTTAAAGGGCATTCCCTCAATGTGAACTTCTATTGAAATGTTTGGGGTTTGGTTTTCATCAGTTGAACATATCAGCGTCATGTTGCTCTAGACTTTAAAGCTCCAATAAGAGTTACTCACATTCAAAGGAAACTAAGGTACTGTTCATAATTTCTTGGATGTTTTATTTCATTTTGGTTAGAAGCAGAATCCTCCCTTCAAAGCAGTGGCTAAAGTTCGTATTAGTTACTGTGTTTTGGGTTTTGTTTCTTGGTGTTGGTTTGTTTGGGTTTTTTTGTTTTTGTTAATGTTCACTATTAAAATGATGCTTCTTTGCTAGGAACAGATCTTTGCTGAGCTGCTGTCCTTTAAAAAAGAGGACCAATGCTTAGACTTTGATACCTGAACTGGAGTTCAGCTGCTCTAATGTTTGTGCCTTCCGTAGCTCCTTCCCCTCCATATTCCCCTTTCCCTATATCTAGGCATCTACTTACATTTTTGTCTTTGGAACCACCCCAAAAAAGAAAATAGAGCTCCATCTGCCACTTCTGTAACTTAGACAAGGTAGGAGGAATCTCTTATTTGAGGGCTTAGGTAGGATCTCTGCCTGTTAGGAAGGAGTTTGTGTACAACGCTTCTGTTCATAGCTGGCACGCTTGGGAGCGGTTTGTAGCAAACCTAAAGTGAGCTACAGCCTGTTGTGTTGGTGTTCTTTAACATGTTTGTTGGGACCCTCTGAGCTTTTGAGGATAAGGTGCTGAAATACCGCTGAACTAGAGGTGTGCTGGAGGAAGTGTTGATGCAGAGGAGCACGAGAAATCTTCATACTTCCTATTTTTGAGTTATCTCTCCTTCCTTCTAGGCAAGTGAGAGTGGGATCCATAAGTCTTTCTCCTCCTATCCTCCCAAGTGCTTAAGTGGCTCTGAAAAGCACCTCTGATGCTAAAAATATGTTTATTCCTAGGTGGGGTGGGGCTTGGGGGCCTCTTACCTTCCAAAGTGGGTATCTAGAGTGCTTCTTGCCTCCTTCTCTTCCTCACACTGCTCTGGGAATGATGTAAACGGGTCCATGGGGCAGTATCTGGTAGATTGCCAGGGATGCTGGAGAGCTTTACAGTGCTCTGGAATTTGCAAGAGGGTGCCACAAATGCTCTCCTGGTGAATTTTGGGTCTGTAATCTGTGCAGATGTACTTGATGTTGGGAACTGGACAATGTGTAGACAAATGAACGGTGATCTGGAGGAGATGTAGGCCCCTCTGACAGTTGTCATAAGATTGGAGTTTAGTATCTTAGATCATGTCCAACTACTTCTCTAAGGCATGTTAAAAAAAAAAAACAAACCAAAAAGCAAAACCCCAACCAAACAACAAAACAATCAAACAAAAAACCCCCACAAACAACAGTTAAATATCTATATGCAAGAAAAGGGCTTGAATTAATTCTGTGCTGAAATTCTGTAGGCAGGAAAATGTCTTCTTACAGTCTGTTTTCTGAATGACAAGTCTATTAAAACACACCAGTTTTAGCCGTGTGAAGGAAGTGGGAGTCTGAGATCACATTTATTTTATTTCCATTCCATTTCAAGTTATAGTATTCCAGGAGCTCAGCCCCAGTGAGAAATGTATTTGTAAATACAAGCACTCTCATGTCTTTAGTGCTGCTCTTCTGACAATCTGTAAATAGCTTGCTGAAGGCATGTTAGAGGCAGGAATTTAATATTTTTCTCCATCTCAGTCTTCTGTGATTAACTTGTGTGACTTTCCTCCAATCTTACTGTTCCAGTCCTGCAAGGATTTTTTGTTTTCCTTTAAGTGTTTGGGTGGTTTGTGCCTTTTTTTAAATAAAAAAAAAATGCAGCTAATTGTAGGAAACAATGTCTTTTTATTCATGTGGTCATCTGGCAGCTCTTTTCACTGTGGGACAGCTCAGGTGCTCTGCTCTCTAACACATATTCTGGACTACTTTGGGACTATTTGATGGTCTTTTCTTTATGAAGTCCTATTTGCAGAGTGCCAGAAGCATATTAATCCTTCAATTCCCATTGTCAATTTCCCTACTAGCAAATGAGTTTGCCACACCTTCTGCAATCTTGACAAGTTGTCTTCCTCCAGGTATTTGGAAATTGCAGTCTTAGGTAAGTAAAGCTGATAGCAAGATCCTTAAATATGCCAGATTTTTTTCTGGATGCAGAGTTACCTACCAAGGGGGGGAAAAAAGTAGTGGGTTTAGACCCAATGGCAACAGTTTCCTGTGATTAAATATTAAGAATTTACTCCACGAATTATTAACAGTGCTCTCACTGACTTAATTCCTATAATCTGTTACTAAGAGCTGTGGATAACTTTCACCAGCATTAGACATACAAAATCCCTTGATGACTTGTCTGGAATTCAGAAGTAATGATAACACTAACCTCACATTATTTCATATCTATGTTTTGCTTGTGTTATTCAATACTTTTCACCATACTTAGTATAATGCTTGCTTCTGGTTCTGTGATGGAAGCAGTGTTTTTGATAGGTGACTTGCAGATTTTTTTGTGTCATCTGAAGAAGACAGGTTTGTTAGTCCATGTGAGGTATACTCAAAG